GGTGGGGGTGGAGGCGGCGCCGTCACCCCTTTCCCCTTCATCGCTTTTGCTCCTTGCCCTCCTGCTTTTCTTGCCTGAACGCTACTGCGTCCTACAGTATGTTATTCTGCTGCCATTACTGTATGTTATATTCCCACACACTGCAAGCTGGCACTGTGTTCGTTAGTGTGTTCCCACACACTGCAACACGCGGTGTGTTGTCATCCCTCAGGATCGAGACTAAAGGTTTTTCCGTGTTTATTACGGACCTCCGAGCAGGAGTGGAGCTCTGGGCAGCAGTTTAATGGTGTTTGGCAGGGTGGCCAGAGAGGACTCTGCGGCCTTGGAAATCAGCAGCCTGTGCCCTTTATATGAGCTGCTGCGGATGGTTTCCTCAAGGAGGAGCTTAGGTTGGAGGACACCTAAGAATGGGAGCCTTGAAGAGTAGTTGGATTTGGGGGCAGGGGAAATGTAACCTGTTAATTAAAAAAACAAGCAAACAAATGAAAAACATAACCTTAAAATCTGTCTGTTCAACAGTTACCTAATTCAGTCTATTCAGTAGGGCTACAGGTCAAGCCAGTTCCTTCTCTGTCAGAAGTTGAGACTTCCTATGATCCTCGATATCCTAGATCTGTAAACCTAGGTGTAGTATCCCTGAAGTAGTTTGATGCAATGTACGGTAGTAAGAAGAGCTGGGATGGTGATAGGTGTGTGCGGGCCCTTCCAGGCCCTTTAGAGCGGTTGCTTTCAAAGAGAGAATGGTTGATGTTCCAGTCCCCTGAGCGCCCCAGCAAGTGCCCATTGCCAGCATGTGCAACACAAATACAAACTGGGAGCCACTTAAAAAGACTGTGCTCTGGGAACTCCTGGTGGAGATTCCTGTACCACGCTTGTCACTTCCCGTAATGCATGGAATGACACTGCTGACTGATGCCTGCGGGTTCTGGGAATACGGGTGGATCGGTGGTTGGTGCAGGTGAGTCAAGCCCCTGCTGCTTGGGAGGGTTTCCCAAGGTGGTTGCTTTAGCAAAGTAAAATGGTGGTTCTTTGTCAGTGATTTGCAGCCAGATACTACCAGAAGGATTTGTATCTTCCTTCCTGAGACAAGATCTCCTTTAAGCACGTATGCGCAGCTGAAATATTTTTAGAAGATAGTTCATGGCTGCTGTGGACATTTGGTTTTGTAACTCAGTGCAGAAGTATCAGTCTCAGAGGGAAAGGAAAAATGATATTTCTGTTAATTAAAGCACTTGAATACAGTTATATAATTGGACTTAAATTTACCCAAAGTTTGAGTTTGTCTATGCTTTTGACTACCAGATTAATTATTTTGCCATCATAAGGGAAGCCCAACTAGTCTCAACTAACATTCTGGAAAACCTGTTACTAAGGGAATGGCGTTCTCTATTTTTTGATAGTTTCCTTTGGGAAAGCAGAAGCATTTTCTTGGAAATGAACCCAGACTTGGAAATCAGCCGGCTTCTTGGGGGAGGTTAGGACTTCTCCAGGAAAACAGAATGTGTTGGCCTATTCTATGCTAGCGTAATTACTTCTTAGAATCGAATATGCAAGAAGTTAAAGTGAAGATAGTTCAAGCAATTTAAAATATCCTGATTTTGAGAACTAAGCTATACATCTATTGCAGTTGTGTCTGCATATGTTCCTAGGGCCAAAAATGAGAATCTGTGCTGATTTCTTAAGGGTCCATGGGAGGAATTTTAAACTGATATTTTGTTGCAGTTCAAACGGCTGCAGCGATCTGCAACAATATTTGGCATTTGTTTTCCTGTCCTCCACTTCCTAGTTTCTGCAGTGAGTTTTTTTTCAGAGGTTTTCTAAGCAGTGGTACATCTCTTCAGCATTAAACTGTCCCCTTTATGATAGAAATATGCATTTGTTTGATAGGGTCGTCACTGCTTTGCAGCTCTTTGCGCAGCACCGGTTCTAGCACAGAAGGAGGATCTCAGCCTGTTAAGCGGTCGCTTAAGAAACCCAAGTTACCAGTAGGTCGCTTTGATGAACCAGAGGAGTCCAATACAGAGAGGGAACCGCTGGAAAGTAAGTCCTGTTTTACCAAAATTGAAAGCCATATTTTAAAGGAAATATCCTGCTGCCCTGAAGTAAGTTTAAGAAGGGTAGTCATTCAGCACTTTGCAAAATCACTTTCTAAGCTCAGCAGTTCTGAAAAAAAAAACAAAGTTGAGGCAGTGGTGACAAGCTGTGGAAAGGTATGTATAAAGAAAAAAAATCTGCAGAGCAAAGGTAGTCTAACATTGTAATAAATTGTCCAGAAAGTTTTTGGTATGTCTGTTCTTGGAGAGATTCGCATTTGCCCAGACATCTTGACCTACCCCTAAGCTTGCTTTGAAGCAGGGATGGGGCTGGATGGCCTCCAGAATTGCCTTCCAACTTAAACCATTCCATGATTCATAGCTGTGTAGCTGCTGTAGCTCGTGCTGATGTGTTATAGTATAGTTATAAGCAGTGGTTGTCAACTCAGCAGGGCACCAACTGTTTTTTTTATTATGCAAAAAGCTTGTTCTGTTTCTTAGTCCTCCAAAGACTTCAGATCCTTGCAATATTTGCATGTGCTTTCTTAGCCTTGCACGCACATTTTTGAAAAGCAACAACAGATGCTAAGTTTATGGAGCCACTCCATGGGGTGCGGGGAGACCTGATGAACTCCTCCTATTTGGGCTGCAGTCCATTGGCTTCAGTGGGATGCGTTTGGAGAACCTCGCAAGACTGAGGCACCAGATAGGCACCAAATCCTTTTTATTTAGCTGTCTTTCCTTGCTGGTCATGTTTTGAATCCTTTTTATTTAGCTGTCTTTCCTTAACTAAAAGTGCTGGTCATGTTTTATCTGCTTCCTACATACCTACACAGCACTGTTCTGCTACTGTTCATTTACCAGTGCATTTATTTTGAGGTCTCTGGGCCAAGCTTTTTAATAATTGATAAATCGCTATGTATATACAGATGACAAAATGACTGAGAAATTACAGTATCATCTGCAAAATGGTTGCAGCCCATTTCAGATTGTGACTCACGTCAGAACTGACTCATGTTTGGAGTTACTGTGTAAGCAGAGAGAGCTGCTTAACTCCACATCCCTCCTGTGTTTGTTCTCCAGAAAATCTGTGCCATCACTGCGTCACCTAAAACAAATGAATATTTTTTTTTGCTTTTTGTTCTATATTTCTTGTGAGACTCAGTGTTTCTTTTGGCTTAAAGTTTAGTTGTGCCTTCGTATTTTTTTTATATATATGACACTAGCAATAATTTATTAGGGGTCTAACTGTGCAGTAGTATCATTGGTAGTTATTAGGGGAAAAATAAAAGTTACAGGTTTAAGCTGTCCATTTCCCATCAGGGAAAAATCTTTTGAGCTTCTGCAACAACTGTCAACACATCAGTAGTACTCAATATTGGGATGATATACAAAATAATAGTAGATGCATTTGTGCCTCTTACATGCCAGGGGTGCCCAAATACTGACATTTCCTGTCCTGGTCCACGTGAATTTTTAAACAGACATCCCAATATGTCATTCTGTATTGCCTGTAGCTACGTGAGTCTCCCTCCATTACTGTCCTCCTTTCTCTCTGCTCCATCGGATTCCGGTTCTTGTCTTTCTCATTTTCGACTCTGCTCCTCATTAGTGGCTGTTTCCCCCGCTGTTGAGGTGGGGACACGAGGAAGGAGCCTCGACTCATGTGTGTGCCTGGGAGGCCCCGGGAACCAGCCTGGCCAGTGGGTGTGTGGGGCAGGGTGCTCCTCAAGGAGCTCTGCAGTCTGGTGCGGGCTGGAAAAACCCCTGCACAAAATGCACTGCTTTCCTGAGCCCTAGCAGCTGCCCTCAGCAAGTGCTGAACGTCCTCGTGGTTGTGGTGAAAGGACAGCGCTGCTCGGCGTGGGAGGCTGGATTTGCACCTTAAAACAAGGGCACCGTGTAGGGCAGCACTTGAGCAGGGTGCTGATAAGGATCAGCGTGAAGATGCTACATGAGCTCGGAACTGAAGCTATTGCATGTGAGCAGGTGGCACGAGCTAGGGTGCTGGGGACAGGAGAACCTGTCCCTAGCTCAAGTTTAAGCTTAGCATGTGGCCTCCTGAAGAGATTTGGGATCCCTTTGGGATTTTACTTAGGAAGAATCTCCCTCTCTTTAAAGGGAATCACAGTTACATACCAAGCTTAGGTTAAAAGGTAAAATTTCTGGTTTTGGCTAGTTAGGACTTTGCAATGCATCCTCTTGACGGTAGCATCCAGCCTGTATGTTTCCTGAAAAAAAAAAAAGGCAACATGCACAGAAACTTGTTTTTAATATAAGAATAAAGACTATAGACTCTTGAGTAAAAATTGTGTACATGTCTGTTCAAAATCAGAGCCCTAAAAAACCCTGTAAGTGAGCTGATATTTTAGGTGAGGTGACCATATGTGTAGTGTGCCTGAGTGACGCAGGTTCTCCCTAGGAATTCCCTGGAAACTGTGGTGCTTTAGTGCCTTGGGCAATGAGTGGCTTTTTCATTTGCATGACTGCATGTGGTGAGAAATTCCTGGATGTAGCCACAAAACTCTCTGAAACTGCTGCTGTTTTTCTGGGAAATGGTTAACTCAAAATTGCCTTTACAAACAAAAAATAATTGATTTTGTGTTAAAAACAAAACTGAGAAGCAAATATCTTAGATGGCGAAATATTTATTTTGCCAACATTATAGGCGTTTTAATAAGCTTTTCCTCTCCTTTTAGAATTTCCTGATGGAATCAATCCCACTACAAAAGAGAGGGGTGGACCGAAAGGCCCTGAACCTACACGTTACGGAGACTGGGAGAGAAAAGGGCGTTGTATAGACTTCTAACGTACAAATGTATCTATTGCTAAAAAATTACTTTTAGCTGTTGAAAAGAGATAATGTATAGACAAATATCACATAGATTTTCCTTCATGTTGTGAATGATTGTGGTGAATTTTCTGAAAGATATATTATGTAAATAAACATGCTATGGTAACTCATTTTTTGAGCTGTTATTTGTATCATATGCATCTGATCTTGTCCCTTTTGGAATCTTAGTGATGTGAAAATTGGTAGTGGGGATGTTAGTGAGATATATAAGGGCTAGGGGTTTTTTTTATGTAAATAAAAAATTATGTCATGTCTTAAATGCTGAAAGAGCTTTGCAGTTCATAAACCCGTGTAACATTCATCAAAATCGCAGCTGCCTCTGAGGAGATTAGTCCTTTGCTGATGTACAGCACAGTGGTGAAGGACCCCCCAGTCAAGACCCATCCACCCTGTCTTTTGTAAAGTGGGGCAGATTTTCTTTACAGTTTGCACAGAACAAACTGTAAATTTTTTCCCCAATACCTCAATGTCAAATGGGGACCGTTACACTGGATAATCTTTATATTGCAGGTCTTTAAACTTCACTGAGTTTTCTGACGTGGAACTAAATATCTTTCGGTCAAACCCAGCTCAGTTCTTCATTCAACAACTTACATAGTGAATAATTCTGGAGACTGTAAATCCACCACTTTTGTGGTTACTAATTAACTGTGAGAATAAGCTACCACTAAAACTCTGCCACTTTCCTAACTTTAATCTGTGGGACTTCAGCCATTCTCATCATGTCTTCTCACTGAATTAATGAGCATATTGATGTTCTGAATTTATTTGCTGTGCAAATTCTTTTTGGTAGACTAAATAATCTGATCTTTTCTTGTCTTTCACTGTGTATAATCTTTTTCTTCCAATAGTGCTTCTTTCCTACTATTTTGCTGATTTTTTTCCAGCCCCTTCATTCTTAGTGCTCTCCTGCTTAAATATCCACAGCTTCTATGAGCTGTTTTGCTGTAGCACCACAGTGGGCTGAATAAAAACTGAATAAACTGAGCTGAAATAGCTGTTTTGCTGTAGCACCACAGTGGGCATTAAAACTGAATAAACTGAGAGCACAGGACAGTCTTATATTCTGTGGCCTACTATTTTTTTTCCTACATGGGTATTCCAGCCTTTTGCTGGGTTGAAGCAAATTTTACCTGACAAAAGGCAGCTTTACACCGTGGTTTGTATTGCTCAGCGTTACCCTGGCACTGTGTAAGAAAGTCCCGCTTCACTCGCCTTAGCTTTTTGTGGGGTTTTGTTAAAGCATCCAAGCCTGTCAGTCTTGTTTCAGATGTCTGTAAAACCCCCCTGAAGCCCACCCCTCTTGTGAGCAGGGCGTCTTTCTGAGGTCTCTCAGGTTGTTTGATGTGGGTTTTACTGATGTGCTATCGTTCGAGTTGGGAGTTGAGATGACTTGCTGACATGATGCCCTACAGAAATCGGGTAGCTGTGCAGTCAGGTTTATGAACCAAATATCTCATTAAAGAGTAAAATGAGGTTTGTTAAAACCCACTTTCTTTGTAAAAGATTGGTGACTAGGAGAACTTACATTTCAAGCCTTTCATTCTTTTTGTAAATTTAAATTCTGCGGTGGAGTTTGGATGTTAGAAAATTAATCTGTATTACTTGACATATCCTATTTGCCCTTCTTTAGCACAGCAGTAACTGTTTTCAAGGATTTATTGAAATTGTCAGCTACCTAAAATATACTGGGTCAGCTCTCTATAAACCTTCACGTACATTGTTTATTAAAATGTTTATTTCTAGTATTGCATTGGATGCCAGTGGGTTAGAAAATGCTTCATCATTCAGTGTACTTACCACCTACTTCAGAGTATGAAGCAGAAATTCTAATCGTAAACTTGCCTTTTCTGCATCATTATTCACAGGCTTGACATCTTAGTGGTTAATTAAGAGGAGACAACAACACTACTGTAGCTTTTTTATTTCTGAAATCTAAATTTCATTTTCCTCCTTATCCCTGGATTAGTGCATGATGTCACTGACTTCTGTTACCAGATTTCCTATTTAGCAACTCCATTAATGGTTTTCTAGTTATCCCTTTTGATGGTCTTGGTTTTCTGTTCTCATTACCGCCTTCATCACAGATGGATTTCTACTCCTGCCCTCCGTGGTGGCAGAATTGAGTGTTTTGGGCCATCCTGTGAAGACCTGTTCTCATTTACCTATGGTTATTTCACTTTCCAAGTGTTTTGACTCCAGCCTCCCTCCATGAGCAAGGGTCGAATTTGCTACGCCTCTCGGCGCCGCGGCAGGGCCTGTGCGGGAGGCCGCGTCCTGCCCCGCGCTGCCGCTTCCCTCAGCATCTCCTGGTGGCTGCTGCCTCTTCCCTGCGTGTCCGGAGCACTCTTGGGACAGCAGTGAGTCCCACGCGGGGCCCCAGGCAGCTCTCGGGCCTCCTGGGCACAGGCTCTGCCCCAGGCCCAGCGAGTGCCCCGCAGAGGCAGCAGCGCCGCCGCCCGCGGGCGATGAGGCGGTGTTTGTGGCGCACGTGTGAATACTTGGTGCCAAGGGTGCCGAGGGTGCCCCTGGAGTTTCAGACCCTTCTAAGACCTCAGCATCTGTAGCGTCATCAAGCGTTTGCTTCACTGGATGGAGAATGTGTCAATGCGAGGTGGAAAACTGAACATTTGGGCAAAAAACAAGTGTAACGTCCACACAGAGAGCACCAACGAGCCATACACTGTGCTCAAGCGATCCGGCATTTACCAGAAAGAGAAGCCCTGTCTTCTCTACAAACAAGGCCCAAATAATCGCTTCGGGGTGCACCAAATCACCAACAACCAGTAACACCGATACTGCAGGGCAGAAATGAACGGCTGCTGTTAGAAGTCCTCAGCACCTCCTCAGCACCATCTTCCTGCTCCTTGCCCGTGATTCACACTAGCAGTTCCCCACAGCGCAGCAGTAGCCACTAGCCACAAGGTTAGCCACAGCAGGTGCCTTTCTCAGAAACACTGTTGGAGCCTCCTGGAGCACCCTGTTTAGTACAGCAGGGCATAGGGCAGCAGGGGTTTTATTCTTTTTCCGTTCTACATTTCTGTAAGACAAAATAATGACTCTGTATAAGCAAGATCTTGTAGTCTTGGAGGATGTGCATTGCTCCGTTTGGCCTTCTGTATTAAAATGCTATCTGTGTTTTTGCAGTAGGCTTTCTTTTATAATGTCAAACGTGTTTCTACTAATTAGCGTAGATACCTTTGTGTATCTTTTAAAATTATGAAGGCTTTATTGTTTGAAAGAATTGTTCTGTAATCACCTTATTACAAAGCCCATAAAGTCGCATGCTACAGTTAAGAAAATGTTTACTGTATATTGCCATGTTTGCAAAGTATATATTTCAGTGCTAATTTTACCAAGACAGTTAAAACAGAAGATTTTATTGTATAGCTGAATCACAGTAAAATTACCTTGTATCGCAGCAGATGTTTGTTAAGAATATGTTTGTTAAGAAGTATAGCATTCTGTTATAAATTTCTGTGACATTTGCAAGCCACTAGAAAACCTATGGTGTTTTTATGAGAAAACTTTACTGCTCTTTCAGTAGATTGCAATAAATGATCACAAATTCCAATGGTGTGTAGTAACGAATCTTTTTATGTGCTAATTACTTGTTTTTGTCTTTTGAAAGGGACCAAAATACTTCATTTTGAAACAAGTGTCAAGAAGTTAGCAAGACAGTGAATTAATTTGTGAGAGAGGAGGATTTAGAAATTAGGGGTTTTTTTTTATTTGTTTTTGCTATTGGCTGTGAATCACAAGCTCTTCCAAGCATATCATCAAAGCATAAGTAAATGGTTTGAGAATGTACTTCTTGCTGATGGTGATCTGAAAACTTGAGAATTTGTGTCAGGTCCCATGCTTTTATAACATGCCATATAAAAACACCTTTGCTTAGCCGAAGGTCAGGACTTGCTATCACACCGGCTGAGCCGTGCAATCTCTGTTCTAATATTAGTGTGCCAGTGTTCCAGGCTACTTCTGAGTAGTGCTGGAAGGGGGTGGAAATGTGTAATCATCCTAAGATTTTTTTTTGCGGAAAGGGTGGAATACTAGGAATAGCAGCATGATTATGAAATTACAATTTGGCAAAGCCTGAGAGACAGCTCTATTTAAAGCAAGTTCTGTGAACAGTGGAACTAATGAATTTTTGTTCCCTGTCAATGTCTTACATCTGCTGTAGATCCAGTTTCTTCCTCTGTATTTCCTTGTGGATTGAAGTTCTCTCTGTGGGGCAGGAGAGAAGAGACAGATGCTTTGGCTAATCCGAAGCGCCGAGTGGCAGCGCACGCGAGGATGGCACTGCCTGCCCTTCCCTCTCTGGGAACGGTATTTGGGCCTCTCTTTTCTACCTAGCAACTGCTTTTCACAGAACCTGCCAGAACTGAATTGATGGAAACTTTTCTCCCTTTCCCCTTAGCCACCTACCCTTTGGCAGCCAAGCTGGTGCTGTATGTATTTTCTTTGGAAATATTCAGTATCTCTCTGCATTTTTCTTTTGTGTGAGAAAGGATTATTTCTTTTCTTTTCTTTTTTTTTTTTCCTTTACAGAACTTCAGAAGTTCCAGTTAAAGATTATGGTGGTAAGATTGTGACATGCACTTTCCAGGGATTAAAAGTCCCCCAGGCAGCTGTAGTCTCGAGCCTATAAAAATATACATGCTTTAGTGTTGCATTTATTGAAGTGAGGAGAGTGTTTACAGAAGATCTCGAAGTTCCTTATTTAACAAATTCATCTGTAATAAAGTTGACATATGTGGCCGTCAAAATGCACTCATCATTTTAAAAGGCTAGTCTCTGTCAAAATTAGGTGACCTATGAAATTAACTGTAATTCTAGAAGCCAAATTTTGAAGATTATTTACACCAGGCCTCTCTCCTAATCATGTACTTAAGAATGAAGTGACTGCTCTGGTCCTCTGTGCCTGCCTTAGCAGCAGCAGCAGTGGAGGGAAGCGCCTCCAGAAAGGGGTCCCTCGTGGGATGGGGATGTGAATTTATGTTACAGATGG